GGGGCCCAGCCCGCGTCCGTGGACAGGGCCACGAGCGGTACTTCCTGCTGGTCGTCGACGACTACACGCGTTACACCACGGTCTTCCCCTTGCAGCGCAAGGGGGAGGTCCCTGATGTTTTGATCCCTTGGATCCGCGCTGTTCGTCTCCAGCTCCGCGAGCGGTTCCAGTCGGAATTTCCTGTCCTGCGTCTGCACTCTGACAGAGGTGGTGAGTTCTCCTCAGACCTCTTGGCGGCCTTCTGTGCGGAGCACGGCATCCGCCAGGCGTTCACGCTTCCGGCCTCTCCGCAGCAGAATGGGGTTGCTGAGCGCCGCAATGGGCTTGGTCATGGAGGTCGCTCGTACCTCCATGATCCATGCGGCTGCCCCCCATTTTCTGTGGCCGTTTGCGGTCCGGTACACCGCGCATCAGCTCAACCTCTGGAACCGTGTCTCCTTGCCGGAGACCTCGCCCACACTGCTGTGGACGAGGAAGGTTGGCGATGCGTCGCGTTTCTGGGTCTGGGGTGCTTGTGCCTTTGTCCGCGATACCACCGCGGACAAGCTCTCCGCCCGCGCTGTTCCCTGTGTCTTCCTTGGCTTTGTCCCTGACGCGCCTGGTTGGCAGTTTTACCACCCCACCTCGCGCCGTGTCTTCCCCTCTCAGGACGTCACATTCGACGAGTCGGTTCCCTTTTACCGTCTCTTCCCCTACCGCACTGCCCCTCCCCCCCCCCCGCCGCTCTTCCTCGCTCCAGGTGCTCCCCAGGTAGACCCCCTCCCCGCTCCCGGTCCTGCTCCTTCAGGTGTGTCTCAGGTAGACCCTCCTCCCTTGAGTGCGCCGGTTGAGGTCACTGGCTACTCAGGTCCTGCTGCGGGTGGTCCTGCTCGGGGTGCTGCATCTGGGGGTGCTGAGCCTGGGGGTGCGGAGCCTGGGGGTGCTAAGCCTGGGGGTGCGGAGCCTGGAGGTGCTGAGCCTAGGCGTGAGGAGTCTGGGGGTGCTGAGCCTGGGGGTACTGAGTCTGGGGGTGCTGCACCTGGGGGCGCTGAGGCGTCTGATGAGCAGTCTCCCTGGAGCGGCCGTCTCCGTAGTCGCTCCGCTGGTGCCTCGCCGCTGCACTCTCGTCGTCGCCTCCCTCTTTCCCCACAGCAGCTGCGTGAGTGGTACGTTGGCCGTAAGGGTCGCGCTGCTGGAGCTAGGGGCCCTGCTGTGGGAGGCGCTGGAGCTGGTTACTCTGCTATTGGAGTTGTTTCTGCTGGAGGTTCTGGAGCTGCTGAGGGTGCTGGAGCTGGAGGTTCTGGAGCTGCTGGAGGTGCTGGCGCTGGTGGCGCTGGAGCTGGAGGTTCTGGAGCTGCTGAGGGTGCTGGTGCTGGAGGTTCTGGAGCTGCCGCGAGTGCTGGCGCTGGAGGTTCTGGAGCTGCTGCGGGTGCTGGCGCTGAGGGTTCTGAGTCTGCTTTTGTGCGGTCTCCTTGGAGTAGCCGCCTTCATCCGCGTGTGCCTCTCACCTCACAGCAGCGGCATGACTGGTACGGTCGTCGTCAGGGTCGCGCTTCTGGATCTTGGGGCTCTGCCGCTGGAGGTACTTCTGCTGACGTCGCTGGAGCTGGGAGTGGTGCTGGTCCCGAAGGTGCTCGTCCTAGAGGTACTGGAGCTACTGGGGCTGGAGGTGCTGAGCCTGAGGGTGCTACTGCTGGAGACCCTGGGTCTGGGGGTGCTACTGCTGGAGACACTGAGGCTGGAGACCCTTGGACTGGAGGTGCCGGTTCTGGGGGTGCGGCTGCTGGTGGAGCTGGTCCTGGAGGAGCTGGAGCTGAGGGTTCTGGAGCTGCTGGAGGTGCTGGAGCTGCTGGGGGTGCTGGAGCTGCTGGTGCTGGTGGCACTGCACAGCCGCGCCTGTTCTTTGCTCCACCGTCTCCATCGTCTCAACCACCGTCTGACTCTGTGCTTCGCCAGGTTCTTAGTCTTCCTTCGTCTACTGGTCTTCCGTTACAGCCTGGCTCACCGCTGCCTGCTCCTTCTCCTTACACTGAGCAGACAGAGGGTTAAACTGAGCGTCGTGAGCTTGCGTCGCGTCCTGTCTCGCCTGTCCGTTTTGGTAGTTCCGGTCGTTGTGTGACTCGTTCGCGTCAGCCGGCTGTCCCCGGCAACCACCTCGTAGTTCGTCGTCCTTCCTCTCCTCCGCAGCGTGTTCCCCTGCCGTCCCCTCCTGCGTCTTCTCTGCCTACCGTACCTGAGCCTGAGTCTGACCGCACCCGTGCTGCTCACCCTACTGTCACGCGTCTACAAGCCACAGTTGTCACTGACCCGTCGTTTGAGTTTGCTGCTGCGTCTACCTTTGTTGCTGAGCTTGTTGACTTTGCTGCTCGCTGTCGTCTAGACTACGCCGCTAGTATTGTTGCTGAGTCTGAGTCTGTCTGTCCTCCGTCCGTCGCGGGTGAGTGTGCTCTTGGCACGGACGTCCTTGAGGACAGGCAGGAGGACCTTGAGTGTCTTGCAGACGCTGCGCCTCATCTCGTGTCCATGCTGCTTGCCCCTGAGGGAGACCCGGATGCTCCAGACATCCCGACCCCGCGCTCTTACGCTGAGGCGATCGCGGGTGAGTACTCCTCTCAGTGGCAAACAGCCATGGACGCAGAGATGGCATCCTGGAAGTCCACGGGCACCTAAGGCAACGAGGTTCCTCCTCCTGGGGCGAACATCGTCAGTGGCATGTGGATTTTCAGGGTGAAGCGGCCACCAGGTTCTCTGCCCGTCTTTAAGGCTCGTTACGTTGCTTGAGGTTTCAGTCAGCGAGAGGGAGTTGACTTCTTCCAGACCTTCTCCCCCACCCCGAAGATGACCACTCTTCAGGTGCTGCTGCACGTTGCCGCTCAGCGTGACTACGAGCTTCACTCTCTTGACTTCAGCACAGCTTTCTTACAGGGCAGCCTGCACGAGGAGATCTGGCTGCGCCGCCCTCCTGGTACCCAGTGGAGCCTCCAGCGGCCGGTCTACAGTCTCCGCCAGGCGCCACGTGAGTGGCACGACACACTGAGGACGACGCTTGCGACTCTTGGGTTCGCGCCTTCTACTGCTGACCCGTCGCTGTTTCTGCGCACCGACACTTCGCTCCCTCCGTTCTACATCATCGTGTACGTCGACGACTTGGTCTTTGCCACTACCGACACTGAGGCTCTCGCCCTGGTGAAGTCGGAGCTGCAGAAGAGACACGTGCACAGACCTGGGTGAGCTGCGCAGCTACCTTGGGTTGCAGATCACCCGGGACAGAGCACGCCGCACCATCACACTGACTCAGTCACACATGGTGCAGCAGGTCCTTCAGCGCTTCGGCTTTACCTAGTCCTCGCCACAGCACACTCCTCTGGCTACAGGCCACTCACTCTCCGCTCCACCTTCGGACGAGTCCGTAGAGTCGAGTGGTCCTTACCCAGAGCTAGTGGGCTGCCTCATGTACCTGATGACCTGCACTCGTCCTGACCTTGCGTACCCTCTTGGCCTTCTGGCTTGTTACGTGGCTCCTGGTAGGCACCGACCAGAGCACATGGCTGTTGCTAAGAGGGTACTGCGCTACTTGTGCAGTACATCGGGCATGGGGCTCGTGCTTGGAGGGCGGAGCCCAGTTGTCCTCACTGGGCACTTGGACGCTTCTTGGGTTGACGACCTGGCTACGCAGCGGTCGTCACAGGGTTACACCTTCAGCCTTAGCTCTGGCTCTGTTTCTTGGCGGTCTACATGCTCGTTTTCTGTTCTCGGCTCCAGTTGTGAGGCTGAGATCTACGCCACAGCCATGGCTGCACAGGAGTTACGCTGGCTCACCTACCTGCTGACCGAGCTGGGAGAGCGACCTCGTTCTCCTCCAGTGCTGTACGTAGACAACAAGGCCGCCATTTCGTTGTGTCAGGAGCACAGACTGGAGCACAGAACGAAGCACATCGCTCTGCGTTACTTCCTGGCTCGAGAGTTGCAGCAGTGAGGTCAGGTTCGTCTTGCTCACGTGGCCACACGGGCCAGCACTGCTGATATATTCACCAAGGCTCTTCCGTCTGGTGATCATCAGCGTTTCTGCACTTTGTTAGGCCTTGTGCCCACTTTTCCTCACTTGCTGTAGATTTTGTTTGTACTGTGATCTATATACCTACTTGCTTGCTCTGCTAGGTAGAGATCACTGTGCTGCTGTTGTTGCATATATACCTCTGCATGTGAACTGGCCTTGTGGCCCTTTGCTTGTGCTCAGTGTGTGTGGTGACTTTGTGATCCACCCTGAGCTTGCTTTGCTTCTCTTGACTGGTCTTGTGACCCCTTGCTCTCCCCCACTTTGCCTCTGGGGGTGTGTCAAATGAGATATCTGCTATATATGTTTAGGCTGTAGTGGGGTAGCCAATATGGGGTACAGCCCCTTTTAGGGTTTCATATTTGTACCCATCTCTTTCATAGTTCACCCATTTTCCTGCTGCTAGATTCTAACAGCCCGGGGCGCGCGACTGAAAGAACAGCAGCGAAAGCGAACGGTGGGCCCATTGAGGAGATTAAACAGTAACAGGCCAGGATGTTACGTGCTCTGATAGCATGTCAAAATATGTTCATAATTTAGGACAAGGAACCTAGGGTTTAGGCTAGCAAGAGAGTGTCAAGAGAGATGCCAAAGCTGAAGAGGGCTTCACTATAGAACTGCAAGTATAAATAGATGAGAAACATGCAAGGAGTGGTGCACCACCAAACAGGACAGCTATGTAACTACACCACTGCTAGAACTACATGCACTTATCAATGTTTTATTCCCAGGAAGGCTGATTATCAACGTCCCTAAAATTGAATCTGGGGGGCTGGTAAGAATGCACCTTTCACGGACCACGTGCATTTCAGAAGCTCCAGAATGGCTATCATTAGGCGCATACATAACTTCACACATTGCACATAGAGGGCAATCGGCACGCATGGCAGGGGCTGTAATGAGGGCGAGCACAGACAGACGGCAACAAGGCAAGTGGGCGGCAGGGGCCGTGAGCAAGTGGGGGGCTCTAGAGCGGGTACAGGACGAGGTGGCCGAAGTGAGCAGCGCCGGGCGAGGAGCCGCGGAAGAGGTGAGGGCGATGCCCCGTGGAACTCTCAAAGCGCCGACATACGTCGTCCACCGCTGCCTGCGCCGCTGCCGTGCTGTCCCCCAGCACACACACCGTGCCGCCACTGCCTCCCCCCGTTATCTTGGCGCCCCACAGTGGTCCCTGTGGCCATGGTGCACCGCGGGGAGATGGCACAGGGAGGGTCAGGTATTGGGAGGAATGCATTGGGAGAAAAGCCACCATGTGAAAAATCAGGTGGGGCTTCCTAGAAACAGCTGCTTTACTCTGTAATTTGTAATCAACCCATGGGCACGACTCACATGCGGGCCCATGTGTGTGCGAGCGAGGGCGACTATGAGGTCCGTGGCAGGCGACCCCAGCCCACACGCCGTGTAGCTCGCATGGCTCTGCCATGGCAGGGGTGCATCACACACACTCCCCATGGCGTCAAAGGGGACAGAGGGACGCGTGGAGGGAGCAAGGCGGAAAACTGCCATGAACAGGGACTTGATGGGAGGGGGCAGAAGGGATGCTGGCATGATACATGAGGGTGAGGGAAGCGTGGTGATTCTAGAGAGTGTGGCATGTGGGGGGGGAGCATGGAGTGGCAACAGAGATTGGTGCAGAGAAGCAGCTATGGGCAGCGTACCTGCATCATCAGCTCCCCCAGCAACGCCATCTGCTCAAGCCTCCCCCCACCCTCATCCGCCCCCTCATCCCCTTCGCCCTCGACACCTTTCCCCTGAACCTCTTTCCCCCCCTCCTCGTGCTCCACGTGTGTGAGCAGCAGGGAGCGGAAGCAGCGTGTGCGGAAGTGGTCCATGACGGGGTGGCGAGAGGCGGGCCACACAGGGTAGTGCAGATCAGCAGCCACCGTGGTGGCGGGGTCGCCGTGGGACGCGTGGCGGGCGAGGAAGGCGCTGCCGTGCATGGTGGCGGGCAGTATGGGCTCCAGTAGGGGCAGGCTGGCATGGCCAGGTGAGTTGGGATGTGGGTTGGGGTGACAGGGAGAAAGGGAGGGGGGTGAGAAGGAGGGGGGAAAGAGTGTAGGCGGAGGAGGAGGGGAGGGTGGCAGGGGGGTCGGGGAGTGTGGAAGAGAAGGGTGAGGAGAGTAAGGGCGAGGGGCAGGTTGTGTGATACCCTGACGATGAGGTTGGGTGTGTGGAGCACCTGAAAGATCCAGCTGGAAAATCACCTTCTTGACCACCTAACCAACCACCTGATGACCGGCCTGAGCAGTCACCTGTGCGGGTCCAGTTCACAGAGGCATGAAAGCGGCTGTGTTACTGCTGGTGCCAAATCATGCGGTGCTGCACTGACGCTCGTCTGGTGGCATGGGCACATGCGGTGAGACACACACATGCATGCACATATGCACCACACACACGCAAGCATGCACAGGCATGGAGAAGGGAGCAGCGTTCAATGGTAGCATGCACGTGACGTGATCACAGCAGGCCCCAGGTGGAAAGAGCACAGGCGTGCGCATCCATGAAGTGGTAAGGAAAGGGTGTGCCCGGTGCCTGTCACGGCGAGCATGCAAGCATCTTCTGAGCCCCGCCTGTCACGACGTGCATGCAAGCATCTTCTGAGCCCCGCCTGTCACGGCGAGCATGCAAGCATCTTCTGAGCCCCGCCTGTCACGACGTGCATGCAAGCATCTTCTGAGCCCCGCCTGTCACGACGTGCATGCAAGCATCTTCTGAGCCCCGCCTGTCACGACGTGCATGCAAGCATCTTCTGAGCCCCGCCTGTCACGACGTGCATGCAAGCATCTTCTGAGCCCCGCCTGTCACGACGTGCATGCAAGCATCTTCTGAGCCCCGCCTGTCACGACGTGCATGCAAGCATCTTCTGAGCCCCGCCTGTCACGACGTGCATGCAAGCATCTTCTGAGCCCCGCCTGTCACGACGTGCATGCAAGCATCTTCTGAGCCCCGCCTGTCACGACGTGCATGCAAGCATCTTCTGAGCCCCGCCTGTCACGACGTGCATGCAAGCATCTTCTGAGCCTCGCCTGTCACCCGGCCTGACCCGCACATGGGGTTGCCTTGCTACGTCCTGCCATGAGAGCATGGGAGCGCGTGGCTGAAGCGGGAGCAGAGCGGGTGTGCAGGCATGCTTTTGGAACGGCAGGAGAGAGGCGGGCACAGATCTGCCCTGCCCAGCACAGCACCGCACAGCACACACACACTTACAGAAGCTTCACTGCTTTCTCCACTAGCGACGTTGATAAGCGTGAGTCCCATGAATGCCGCGGCCCTCACCCCGCCGTACCCCGCGCCGCCCACGCTGTGGCGCGCGCCCGAGTCGATGCCCCACAGCGCCACGTGGGGGGGCAGCGCCAGGCAGCCCTGCACGCTGGCGGGGCGGCACAGCAGCGCCAGCAGCGAGGCGGGGCGCGCGAGCGTGACGGCCATCTGATCCATGATGCCGCAGGGGGCGCCCACCACCCTGTTCTCCACCTGGTGGAGGGGCAGGGGGCAGGGGCCAGGGGACAGGGGACAGGGGGCAGGGGGCAGGGGGTAGGGGGCAGGGGGCAGGGGGCAGGGGGCAGGGGGCAGGGGGCAGGGGGCAGGGGGTAGGGGGCAGGGGGCAGGGGGCAGGGGGCAGGGGGCAGGGGGTAGGGGGCAGGGGGCAGGGGGCAGGGGGCAGGGGGTAGGGGGCAGGGGGCAGGGGGCAGGGGGCAGGGGGCAGGGGGTAGGGGGCAGGGGGCAGGGGGCAGGGGGCAGGGGGCAGGGGGTAGGGGGCAGGGGGCAGGGGGCAGGGGGTAGGGGGTAGGGGGTAGGGGGTAGGGGGTAGGGGGCAGGGGGTAGGGGGTAGGGGGTAGGGGGCAGGGGGCAGTGGGCAGGGGGTAGGGGGTAGGGGGTAGGTGGGTGGATGTGCAGGAGCGGGAGTGGAGAAAGAGATGTGTGGGCTGTGCGAGTTGCTGGTGCGCTTGGACAGGCTGTGTTATGTGACCTTGTGCTGTGACCTTGTGCTGTGACCTTGTGCTGTGACCTTGTGCTGTGACCTTGAGCTGTGACCTTGTGCAGTGAGCGAGCGTGAGTGTGGAATGGGAAAGGGGCAAGCGCAGTGCAGAAGGAGAGTGAGCACAGGGGCATGGCAGGGGGGCGTACCATCTGGCACATGCGGGCGAGGTGCCAGGGGGGCACGTGCATGCCCAGGGCGTGCATCAGAGCCATCATGCTCGCCACCTCCACCGCTGCTGACGATGCCACGCCCACGCCCTCCGGCACCTCTGATGCCACCACCACCGCCACCCCCTGCACTCTGCCCAACGCCCCGCTCTCGCCCTGCGCGCCCCACCCCCCCATCCACGCCTGGCGGAACTCCGCCTCTCTCTCCCTCGCCAGCACCACCAGCGCCCCCGCCACATATGCCGCCCACCGTGTCCCCCCTGCCCCTCCCCCTCCCCCCTGCTCTGCTGCACCACTCTCCTCGGCCCCCTCCCTGCTACCCCCGCCCCCCCCTCCGCCTTCATCTCCCGACTCTCTCGCCTGTGCTGCCCCTTCCTCCCCCTCATCGCCCGCCGCTGGCCCCCCTGCCAGCAGCGCATGGGCGGAGGCATAGTCGAGGGCGCAGGGGGCGGAGTGGGGGGGCGAGGCGTAGAGGGCGGGGAGCAGGCGGGCGAGGGGCAGGGAGACAGAGGGCACACGGTGGTTGGCGGCGGCGGAGAGGGAGACGATGCGCAGTGAGGGGGGAGGCCCAGGGGACGTGGGAGGGGCGGAGGGGGCGGAAGGGGGTGCGCGGATGACCTGAATGGCCACGTGGCACGCCTCTGCTGTTGGCATCTGGTGGGGGGTTGGAAGGGAAGGAAGGGGAGGGGAGGGGATTGAGAGATACATCATACGGGAGAGGTAAGCCAGAAAGTACCACAAGAAATGGAGGCACCTGAGACCCACCTGAGGTGCAACTGAGGCACACCTGAGGCCCACCAGGGGCGCACCTGAAGCACACCTGAGGCCCGCCTGAGGCGCACCTGAAGCACGAGCGAGCCGGAGTAGTCAGCAATGCCGCCCATCACATCCAGGCGCCCCGGCGCTCTGGTTACCACCAGCGGCTTCGACCAATCAAAGAGCTCCGCCGCCAGCGCCAGCTCGTGGCGCTCGCTGTCGTTGCACGTGCCGCCGCCGGGCGGCGTGACTGCGCGGCGGGGGGCCGCGGAGGAAGGGGAATGGGGGAGGGAAGGGGAGGGAATGAGGGGGAATGGGGGAGGGGCGGGGAGAGCCCAAGGGAAGGGAAGGCACGGCTGAAGGGGCAGGCGCAGCGAGGGGAACGGGGGCGGCGGCGGGAAGGAGAGCGCGAGGGAAGGGGAGGGGAGTGTGGAGGGCGAGCGAAAGCGGCGCCCGGATGCCAATGGATCTTTTCCTCCCGCCACGCCGCAGCGCGCCACGCACCGCCGGCTCGGAGCGCGTCGAGCAGCGCGAGGAAGCGCTTCGTGTCGGGCAGGCCGCGGTCATCGCCCTCCACGCGCATGGCGCCGCGGGGCATCTATGCGATGCGAGAGGGGAGCACAGGAATCGCGCTGTCGTACGCGCCTAACCCGCACTTGGTGCAACGTGGCGGTTAGCGGCTAGCGGATGCGGGTTGGCGGATGATGGTGCGGGGCAAGCAAATGGGTGACCGTGGTCGCGATGCCCCTCGCCCCTCGCGCGCACTCGCGTTGAAAGTGTCCTATCACTTCGCATTCCGACATTTTCAGCGACAGGTGAGTTGTGCACATACTGTACAACAGCGTCTTCGTTAGGGTGTATTGTCCGAAACATGCTGACTTCTATTTTTGTACAACCCTGCACCTCCACCCAATGTAATATGGAAGTTCGTTGCTTGTGCTAGTACTGAATGGAAAGCATAGAGCTGAAAGATTTAGCAATGGAGGCTGACATTACATGCGAGCATGAGTGGCACTCAACAGCGTGACATGGCCAAATGGCTTCTCAGAGTGTCATAGTTTGGTGCAGAGGTGTGGACGGTGAGAGATAGTGTCAGACTGTCAAGAGAGGTAGTTAGAACTTAGAGACATGGAAACCCTAGGAGCTAGGAAAGAGAGGTGTTTGGCCAAATAAGGGGTTTGCAATATGAGAGAGTTACAAGATATAGGAAAGGTGGACAAAAGGGGATATACCACCAAGGCCCAACACTACTAGCTAAAACATGCAATTATATAAGAATACACCATATTCTAACACAGACATTATAGTCTTAGTAATGTGTGTCATATGAGGTACAATAGTTAGGGTTAGGTTCATGTACCCCAACCAACCTTAGTCAACACATTCTTCTGTTCTTGATATGGTATCACCTAGGTTATGATCCTGTGGGATCCCGTTCCTCTCGTTCACGTCCGTAGCGCCCGAGCCTGTCCCGTACCCTAGTGCACGTTATGCCCCAAGCGCCTATCGCGCTCGTCTCTCTCGTGCCCTAGCGCCCGCTGCGCCTGCCATCGCGTCAACCCTGCTGTCCCGTCCCGTCCCGTCCCCCCCTGCTGTCCCGTCCCGTCCCCCCCTGCTGTCCCGTCCCGTCCCCCCCTGCTGTCCCGTCCCGTCCCGTCCTCTCCGTTGTCCCGTCCCGTCCCATTTCCCCTGCTGTCCCGTCCCGTCCCGTCCCGTACCCCCTGCTGTCCCGTCCCGTCCTGTCGTCCCTGCTGTCCCGTCGCGTTGCCCCCTGCTGTCCGGTCGCGTCGCGCCTATCCATGCTGTCCCGTCGCGTCGCGCCTGTCCCTGCTGTCCCGTCGCGTCGCGCTGTCGTGCCACGTCGCACCGTCTGTCCCATCCCGTCCAATCCGCGTCGCGCTTCCCGTCCCGTCCCGTCTCCGTACGCCCTGCCCGTCCGCCGCGCCCCGTGCGCCCTGCCCGCCCGTCGCGTCCCCTCTGCGCCCTGCCCGTACGTCACGCCCCGTACGCCCAGCCCGTCCGTCGCACCCCTGCTGCGCCCTGCCCATCCGTCGCGCCCCCGCTGTGCCCTGCTCGTCAGTCGCGCCCCGTGCGCCCAGCCCGTCCGTGGCGCCCCGTGCGCCCTACCCGTCCGTCGCGCCCCGTGCGCTCTGCCCGTCCACGCCTGTCGCGCCCATCCCTGCCAGTCGCGTCCTGTCCATTGCGCCGCACTGTCTGTCACGCTCTATGCAGGCCCTCCAGGCGTTTAGGGTTTCGACAACAGCAGTTCCCACCCCTTCGCTACCGCTACGGCGACCCCTAGGGTTCTGCGCTCTGACGCCGAGGGTAGGCCACTTGAGTTCTCCATCTGGCTCCTGCGTGCGCGCCGCCTTTTAGAGAGTCAGGTTCAGGCAGATGAGTCTCTGTGGGCGCACGCTTCTGGCGACCTTCCTAAGCCCGATGATCCTGCACCCTTAGGCTACAACCCTAGCGATGCAGACAGAGATCAATACGCCCGCTAGCGTGCTGACCTCACAGCGTGGAAGTCGCATGATGCTGCGGCTTGCATCGCCCTTAGCAGCCTCCTCCCTGAGTCTGAGGAGGCACACTTCACTCAGGTTCGCACGGCTACTGAGTTCCTGACTGCGATCAAGGCCCGCTACACTACTCCCACCACTGTCTCTCTTGGTCGTCTGTTCCTCCCGTTCTTGTTTCCTGACCTCGCCTCGTTTGAGCGCTCTGCTGACTTAATCGTTCACCTGCGCTCGCTCGATTCCAGCTACCGTGCTGCCTGCACTGACGAACAGCTTGCACTGCTCCCTCCCCCTATGGCGATTACTATCTATTTCATTGCCACTAGCCTCCTTGACCGCCTTGCCTCGGTTCGTGACGCGCTTATTCTGAAGCACCCTAGCGAGCTCACTATCGAGGTCCTTGAGTCTGCCCTCAAGGACGTCGAGAGCAACCTCCGCTCGGTTGCTGTGCCCCCTCCACTACTTCACGGGTGCACTATCCTTCAGCTGCCCAACTTTAATGCCTCCCTTGCCACTGCCGCTACTGACGTGACCGCAGCTGCTGTTACGACTTCTTCGCGGTCTAGGGGTAGGAGCGGCAGGAGGGGCGGTCAGGGTGCGGGCAGAGGCGGCGAAGGTGGCGGAGGTGGTGTAGCGAGTGGTGGTGGCGGGAGTACAGAGGTTGGAGGAGCGTCTTGTGCAGCGGCTAGTGACTCCCCTACTACAGTTGTTGGAGGCGACGCTCGGGTTCGTCAGGCACCAACTAGTCCACCAGCTGCACGTGCTGGAGCGGCGACTTGGCACCTGACTCAGCAACAGTGTGAGACTACGACAGCTTATGCCAGCTATGCTTGCTTGCCTTTACTTTATCATGCTATTTCTAGCATAGGATAATTATATGCATGCATGAATTGCTTGATTTCCTAGGCTAGGTGCTTTCCTATATTTTATTATAGTTATAGCACCGAGCTAGGTTGCGTGCACCGAATTCTGGCCTTTCGGTTGCCACCGAATTGCCTTCTACCGAATTCGGTAAGGATCTGTTCGGGACGCTTCGCGGCCCGCGGAACCTTCACGTAACACCTGGTTACGGGGCCTTGTTTCGAGCCTATATATAGCCTCGTGTTGTACCCAGGTGTCATTCAATTCAATTCATTCAATTCACATTCTCTTTTCTGAGCTCGATCCTAGATCCTCAAAATGGTAATCAGAGCGGGTTTACACCCGAGGTATTCAACCGCTTAGTTCCGGCCTTTAAAAAACCGCGGGGGCGACGACGAAAGCGCCGATACGGGTATGTAAAACCAGTTCCGCGCAATTTTTCTAACTTCCCTCGATTCGGTTTTCGAACACCCCTCAGATTTACTGGTGGAAAGGTTGGAGTTTCGACCGTTCGATCGAGTTTCATCTCAACGGCCCAGACAATTTCGCCCAAACAAGTTGGAATTTGGAGCGTCGGATTGATTTTCTCCTCAACGACCAAGATCGGATGCGAATTTCGAGTAGGGGAGATTTACTTGACCTACAGAATTCGCGCTCGTCGATCCTACAGTCAACTTGACTCGCAGTAAGTCGACCAGCACCTAGAATTAGATTATTTTCGTCGCGCATCTTCCTGTAAATCGCCAAATGGAGGGAAAAGGAGATATTTCAGTACAGAAAATCGCGGAGTTACGTGCTGAGCATAAGCAAATACATGCGGCGCTCCCACGACTCGAAAAACTCCTTGCGAACCAGTCGGCAACCGCCACAGCAGCAGCGACAACAGTAGCAGCAGCAGTAGCGGCAACACCGACAATTCTACATGCGACAACGGCAGCAGCTACAGTTAACCTCGAAGCAGTGAAGCCGAGGCTACCGGAGGCGTTCGATCCTACAGTAAAAAGAAACAACGTTCGTCGATTTGTAGCTGAACTCGAAATTTACTTCGAAGCTGTTGGATGCACGACCCCGACAAAAGACGCAATGTGCATACGGCTCGCAGCAACACTGTTACGAGGCCCAGCTCTAGAGTGGATCAACAACAGAATAGTCCAAGGCGAGGGGACGTGGGCGCAGTTTCCGGCAGCACTGATCGAACAGTTCGACACGTTGAACAGTACCTACTACGGAACACGACGCAACAAGCCAACTAGTGGCATGGGGCGATTGGCACCACCCACGACTGCCGACCCGATGGAGAACGACGAGGGCGATGTGGAGCAGCGACTAGCAAATAATGAGACGTGCAAATTTTGCGGCGCTACAGGACATCGTATCTTGGCGTGTTGGAAAATGAAGAGAAGGTGTGCGGAGCTGAAGGACAAGAACAGTGCGGCACCCCCGAAGCAGAAAACGGACAACGTGGCAACTTCGGAGAGGGCGAAAAAAGGAGAATATGGTGGCGCAAATTTAAAACGTCACGACCAGCCGGCACCAGGGGAAATCGCCGAGACTAATGGAGGATCCGCGAAACAAGACCCTGCACCGACCGGGAAACTCCAGCCGTATACCCCGACAAGTAAGAATATTACTTCTCGTGGGTTTCAAGCCTTTATTAAGGGAGAGTCAGAAATTAAACCTGTACCGGGTATTATGGGGACCCTACTCCAGAGCGCTAATACGGGTCGAGCGTTCCGAGGAGTTAATATTCTCTCCCAGCAGCACTGTTTAAAGGCTCCCTGTTCCCCACAGATGAAGCCTACACAGCTGCAAAGGCTTAATGGAAGGTTCCAGGCCCAAGAGAAGCCGAATCGGCCTCGGATAAATCCTTCTAACCTTTCTCAGTTGAAAACTGATACTGAAGCTGCATCTTCGAGCGCAGGACCTAGGGATAACATATTCGACGTACCCTACGATCCTATAAGCGATACCATCTACGGATACTCGGAGCAGCAGCAACCACTAGTACTCGAGGTGATCTGCAACGGGCGTCGCCTCCAGGCCCTGGTGGACAGTGGTGCGTCCCACTCGGTGTGCGACCGCGGGACGTTGGAGAAAATTGGAGAATCCTCAGAAGAAACCCAGTTTACAGCAACGATGGTGGACGGTACGAAGCTTCCCATCCACGTCAAGTCAACACTGCAGCTGCAGATAGGGGCGTTGAGGTGGAAGCCGACGTTGCCGA